ATTGAGGACCGAGCGGCCGTGCTGGTTGGTTTCCCTATTGGCGGGGACCCTTCCTGCGGACAGCGGGCACAGTGGCTGTGAGAAGCCATTCTTGGGCACAGGAGGAAGACGAGGCGGAATCGGGCACAGGCGGCTTGTCTGTACGTTACTCTTTTTGGGATAGCGCTCAGGGAAACCCAAGTTCTCCCTCTAGGCCACTGCCCGCCCTTCCTGGTCTCTGACCAATCCACGCGCGCGCTCCAGGGCCCTGTCCCTCCCTCCGCGTGGGCCGGCCTCGGCCGCGCACTAGGACGCATGCGCAGGAAGGAGCGGTGGGCGCGCCGCTCCCGCTGTGGGTTCCTTGTTTGCTGTTTGCGTGTCATTGCTGATCGACCTGGACAGTACGTGGCTGGAGTCCATTAATGATGCCTTCGGAAGGTGTTTCGAAGCTAACCCCCTGTCGAGTCCATCGAGCCCCCTTTTAGTTCCATGTAGACCCCTCTCTGTTCCATCTAGCCCCCTTTCGGCTCAGCAGTCCCCCTTCGAGTCTATCTAGCCTTTGCCAGGCTCTGGAAAGGGGCTGGGATTTCGTGCACTGACCTGCCCCGGGTGCCCCTGCGCTGTCCTCATCTGACCCCACCAGCTTGCCTCATCTGCCCTGGTGGACTCCTGATCCTTGATGGAGCCTAACTGCTTTCGGTTAAGGAGATGGAGAAAACAGAGTTAGTTCAAAGATAGTGTTGAAAAATTCTTGTTTATGAATTCCCAGATAAAAGAGGCAGGGATTCGTGAATCTAGTAATCCAGAAGACCTTTTTGAGCACCTACCTAATACAGGCATGCCATTTCTTGTACTTCGCTTTATTGCACTTTGCAAATAATGTCCTTTTCATACGTTGCCTATTTGTGGCAACCTTATGATGTCATTTTTCCATAGCTCTTAATATCTTCCCCTCTCCTAGATACTTTAAACAGCAGATTGAGACAAAAAGAATTAGGGATTTATTTTTAAAAATGTTTTGAGGGTGGGAAGGTTTTATGTCGTCTCTTATGCAAATCATTCCGTTATTTTTTTACCTTTTTTCGTCTAAGCATGCATCCCTATATTTGACATTTACTATGAAACTATGCTGTTTGTATTTTTGTATGTGTGATTTACTTCCATATCCTGCACACAGTATTTTTTGGAGTTGAATGATATGTACTTTAGGCCATCTCATTTTTTATTTTTTTTTATTGTTAGGAGTGTAGTAGCACTTACCTATTCTGCTGTTGATGTACATTTATATTATTTCCTGTTTTTAGCTATTGCAGACAAAGCTGCTGTGAACATTTTTGTTTGGATCATTTATTACAGTGTGAAATACTCTCTCAAGGACATACTATCTGACAGTGGACTTGCTGAATCTTAGAAATATGATACTAAATTGGTTTCTAAAATGATTGCCTTAATTTATATCCTTACTTATGATACATAGTAGTCCCTGTGTGACATAGTCAAGCGCCTCACTACCAGCTGGCAGGTTGGCGTCTGAGCCCACCCAGAAGTGCCTTGGAAGAAAGACTTGTCAGTTGGCTTCCTACAGACCCCAGCTTTGAAAACCCAGTGAAGTGTGGTTCTCCTCTGCAGCACATGGGGTCACCGTGCTTTGGAGCCACAAGTAAGCTATAGCCCATGTAAGTGGTTCTGAGGAGTTCATCTGTGAAAAGTGAAAGCCTCAACAAGACAGATTGTACCCGGTGGCTAAAGAATGGCTCTCAAGCCCAGCAGTGGTCCTAAGAACGATGCAGGACCTGGCAGCATTTCGTTCTGCTGACCAGAGTCACTGAGTTGAAGGAGTGCAGATGGGCCCTAGCGTGTTAACATGTTAATCACCACAACACATCCCTTCTAGTTGAAGAAACGGATACCTAATGAACTGTATGTCATGCACCTAAGTTGCTGACCGTGAGACTTGGAAAGTCTTTAGTAATACATCAACTCCTTGTTGTGTTTTGGTGATTTTTTTAAACCATAAATTAAAACTGATACCTCCAATTCCAAATCAGTATCCCAGGATGCTTCTTGTCTTCCAACTGCATGTTTCTTTCTCTTTTCTTTCTTTTTTTGAGAGCCCTGATTATTAACATTGAGCGAGGAAACACTGCATGGTTCAAAATTGGGAAAGGCCAGGGATGTGTCCTATCTCCATACCTTTTCAACCTGTATGCAGAACAGATTATCCGAGAGGCTGGGCTCTATGAGGAGAAGTGTGGCATCAGGATTGGTGGAAGATCTATTAACAATCTGCGTTATGCAGATGACACAACTCTGCTCCCTGAAACTGAGGAGGACCTCATGCATTTGCTGAGGGTCAAGGACTACAGCCTTCAATATGGATTGAGGCTCAATGTCAAGAAGACAGAGATTCTTACCACGGGACCAATTGGCAGCATCAGAATGGATGGTGAAGAGATTGAGATTGTTAACAACTTTAGTCTGCTTGGCTCCACAGTCAACACTCTTGGCACCAGTAGCCAGGAAATTAAAAGACGTATCGTGATGGGAAAGTCTGCTGTTAGGGACCTCTCCAGGGTACTGAAGAGCAATGGTGTCACTCTGAAGACTAAGGTGCGTCTGATACAGGCCATGGTCTTTGCAATCACTTGTTGTGCATCTGAGAGTTGGACAATGACCAGGGAGGATAGAAGGAGAATTGATGCCTTTGAGTGTGGTGCTGGAGAATAGTATTGAATATACCCTGGACTGCCAAGAAAACAGATTTATCCTGGAGAGGGTTAACCAGGCTGCTCCTTGGAGGCAAGGATTCTGAGGCTTTGTCTGACATACTTTGGACATGTTGTGAGGGAGAGGACCTTGGAGAGGGTCATCATGCTTGGGAGGGTGGAGGGACAGTGCAGAAGGGGAAGACCGTCTGTGAGGTGGATTGATTCAGTGACTCAGGTAATCGGGATGGGTGTGTCAGAGGCAGTGAGATTGTCCCTGGATAGAGCAGGGTTTAGGGCTTTTGTACATAGGGTCACTGTGAGTCACAAGCGACTTGACGGCACATAACAACAACATACTTACATTGTCAGAAACACACAAAATCGTTTTGGAGCTCACACCTCTGTCACTGACAGCAACACACCTATCATGTAGAGTTCACGATTTCTTGGCAGTACTTTTTGTCCTTGTGATTTTTCCCATTAAAAGACTAGAGTCCGAAGGCTCAGAAAGCTTATATGGCTAGGTTCATTTGTTTCTGTCTGCATTCCATTTGAGGGTTGGTTCAGTTTGAATATATAAAATATGAGCATAATACAAAGGCAAAATTAAAAGTGAAATGTCATCCCTCCTTATAGCCTCCTTGCTGTTCTCGCCAACCCATAATTAGTAATTCTGACTGATAGCCATTCTTCATTAGGTTTTGAAGACTGTGTATTTAGAGGAGGAGACTGCCTATCTCTTCTACAGAGCAGCTAGCTGGTGGATTCAAACTGTTGACCTTTCAGCTGGCAGTGCCACATTTAATGTACCACACCACCAAACTGAAAACCAAACACTCATTGAAATGCGTCCATTTCAATTCGTGGCAACCACTCTGTTAGGTTACAGAGGCTCTAAATCTTTATGAGAGGAACTATCTTTCTTCCAAGAAGTAACTGTTGGATTTGAACTGCCGACCTTTTCAGTTAGCAGGCTGATATGTTGTCACTGTACAACCAGGGCTCCTTTAATAATATATAAACTATATGTTACCTTATCAGATTCATCTTGGAGAGGATTAAATCAAGCTACTCCTTGGAGGCAAGGATTCTGGGGCTTCGTCTGACATACTTTGGACATGTTGCCAGGAGGGACGGGTCCTTGGAGAGGGACATCATGCTTGGGAGGGTGGAGGGACAGCGCAGGAGGGGAAGACCCTCTATGAGATGGATTGATTCGGTGACTGGGGTAATCGGGATGGGTGTGTCAGAGGCGGTGCGGTTGGCGCAGGATAGAGCAGGGTTTAGGGCTGTTGTGCATAGGGTCGCTATGAGTCGCAAACGACTCGACGGCACATAACAACAAACAACATATGTTACCTTATAGTATGCTGTACAAACTTGTATTTAACTTTGAAAAAATCATGTATAAGCCAGAAACTATAAAACAAAACCCTGTCTAAAGAAAGAAAAGTAAATCTTTTCCACTAAAACAAGTGATCTTGTTCTAAACAGTTGAGTTGGTACCAACCCATAGCTGACCTTCCAGCAGTTTTTCAGAAGCAATTAATTGCAGGGGAGGAGATTGCCCATCCTTCTCCCACGAAGCAGCTGTTGGCCTTAACCGTGCGATAAGAAAACAAGTGATAGAAAATAAGTCAGCACCCTGAATATACAAGGCAAAAAAAAAAACTTCCAAAGACCCAAAAATACAAACAGATCCCTTCACGGTTTTGCACTCTTGGATTTTATTGTATATGATAAAGCTGAAAAGTTGAAGAGAGAAGTTTAACTACACATTGTAAAGTAAATATCTAGACTAAATTACCATGAAATTTCATGATGTGTCAGTGAGCCTGGTAGCAGCTTGGTCATAGATGCTCTGTGTCAAGTTAAAACAGTGGAGATGGGAGATTGAGACTTTTCATTATACATAAGCAAGGGTGAAGAAATTTTATTAGAGGTTTGGTTTCTACCCACTCATTCTTCAGAGTTCATTACTGCCTATTAATTAGTCCATCATTTCAGTCAAAGATATTTATTAAGACAAGTGATAGTTAATAGTAACTTCTCTTAGCGTTACCATATCTGTGGTTTCAATTCTAGACTTTGGGAGGGGAAAAAAATTAAGCATTATGAAAATTTTATGCATCAAATTTTGCATTTTTTTTATTTTAAAAACTTTTCCTTTTTTCAAAAAAAACAAGCAGCTTTATACTAAGAAGTTTGTTTCTTGATATGAATGATGTTTTTGAAGACTTACCAGTTTTTAATTGTCCATTGTTTGCTAAACTGTATTTTTAATTTCATTTGCTCTCTCCCAGGGCATGAAGGATGGCAACACGCCGTGCATTAAAAGCTGTTTTGGTAGATCTCAATGGCACACTTCACATTGAAGATGCAGCTGTGCCGGGCGCGCAGGAAGCTCTTAAAAGGCAAGCTATCCTCCAGGTTCAGCTGACAAATACGTTCGTAAGTGCCGTTTTACCAAGGCAGATCATTAGCTAAATGGACGGCCTTGCCCTGGCACTTGAGCAGCTTACCATGTATACAGCAACTGCCTTGAGTCTAGCTCAAAGATGTATGTGTTGTAATATCCTCCCAGTGTTCTCGAAGCCTTTATTAGGTTTGGCCTTTTGATCTAGTCTTTTGTTCTGTGTATGTGTGTCTTTGTACTAAGTTGGTAACGTAAATTTGGGAATGAAAGTTCCAAGATTCAAAAATGTGGAAGAAATAAGTTTGGAAATAGCATAATTGCAGCCTGGAATCACAAAAATGAAACTCACACGTACACACTCTGAGTCCCACCCTCCTCCCCCTACATTGCAAAACCAGCATGCCGTGTGCAGCTGCTCAGAGCAAATGTAACTAAAGGACTCGAAATTTTAGACTTCTTTGCATTAACTGAAAGGAAAGCCTTCAAGGGTCGGGACTGTCTTATATCCAGCAATAGTAAAGCAAAATCTGGATACCAACTTGGTACAGAGGAATTGTAAATTAAGCAAGTATCTCTCATGTGTGGTCTGAAAGGAAAACTCTTCCGTACAACAGAGATGCCAATCAGTAGTAAGAATCTCTTCCTAGAATAATGAGGAAAGCTTCTACAGTTGGCAGTGCTCAGCTCTGTGGGCGTTATCATTTTTCAACCTCGAAAGCCCCTAAAAGACCCATTGCTATGAGGTTGATTCTATCACGTGGCAACTGCTATTGCCAGAGTAGAGGTGCTCCACAAGGTTTTGGGCTATAATCTTTCTAGAAGCTGTTTACCAGACCTTTCTTTCACGGAGCTACTAGGTGGGCTCAAACCACTAACCTTTAGGTTAGCATCTAGTCACAAAGCACCTGTGCCACTCAGACTCTGAGGTATGCTGTTAACCAGAAACTCTCTTGCTAATTCTCATTGCCACCCAGTCAGAATCATCTCAAAACTAACTGTTGGGTTTCCTAAGCTGTAAATTGCATAGGGGGAGCTTGCCCACCTTTCTCTCAGAGCGGCTAATGGCTTCGAACCACCAAAAAAGTGAAGCCTTTAGTTAACCGTGTACCTCCCTATAGACTGCACGACCAGAGCTCCTAGTGACTAGTGTCATAATGTTACATGTGGGATCAGAACACTGATCCAGACTTTGCAGTCCCTCAGGGAATTTCCTTTCCATTTGGAGAATCAAAAATGTTAAAAGGTGTATGACTGGAGGGTATCAGTTGTGAGCTGGTTGGGAGTTGTGATCTTCCTTGTATTGAAGGAGAAAATGGTGGCCGATGTGTTTAAAGCCAAAATAGAGAAAGTCTGTGGCAGGGTTGGACTTCTTGGTTACTTGAGTGGATCTTCCTATTACTTAGGTTTTCCAAGGGGAAGAGTGTCAGTTGAGCAGTTCTCTCCTGCACGGGACACACACTTTAACTGTCAAAAGATCTTTGCACTTCAGATGAGCAGTCACCTCTCTGTGTAGCTCCGTCGACAGCCTGCCAGGCTAAGGGAGCCAGAACTAACACATCATCCTGCTGGTGCCAGCGGAGGCTCTTCAGTCCAGAGACGTTGCTGTACTGGTGCTAATGTTCGGCTTTCTATAGAAACAAACTAGAATATATGGGACTGGGAAACAGAAAAGTTAGAAAAACGAAATTAAAATGATGTGGTTGTTTCAGTACGTGACCATTTTTAGCAAAATAGTGATGTTGAAGTCAACAATTTTCTTTTGAGAGAGAAGGCCCGAGTTTTAATGTGAAACTACTACACAGGTATTTTAGAGGTAATCATGATCGTAGTGAACTATTTAATCATTAGTTTCTTTCTTTTAATTTTTTTGTGTGTGTGTGTATGTGAGTGTACCGTCAAATCAGATCTGACTGGTACAGGAGGAGATTGTTCCTTTTTTTCCCGGCAGAGCATCTGGTGGATTCGAACCATGTGCCTGTGGGATTGTAGTTGCAGCTCCTTGCCACTAGGCCACCAGAGCTCCCCAGTTTATTTCTTGTTTTGTGGTTAATACTGTAAAATCTCCTTTCTGTTCACTTGCTTGCTTGTTTTAAATTGTGTTTAGTGCTTTCTGCTTTTAAGCCTTTGGAGGACGAGCAACAAAGTATTAATATAAAATTTTTAATTGTAGCTAAATTGAAATTTTTTTCTTTCTTGGATTAATACACTGTTGTTACTGTGCACCACTGAGTTGGAACCACTCATTGCTAACTTCCCAGTGGGTTTTTAGAGGCAGTAAATCACATGGGAGGAGATTTCCCATCCTTCCTCCATGGAGCAGCTGGTGGATTTGAACCACATTCCTTTAGGATTGCAATGCAGCTTCTTACCACTGGGCCATGAGAGAGCGCTACAGAGTGTAGCACCATTAATTCTACTTTTAAGGAAGGATAGAGCATATGATCCATTCTTTCTAACACCTGGTTAATAAATTAGTTTAAGAAGCAAAGCATAGAGTCAATCAATAATATGTAAATAAGGTGCACAGGGAAAGTACATTTAAGTCTGTGAAAATGGAATGTTTCTTTGGGTTATTCCAGCAGTTTCTGTTGATAAATTTAGTAACATAGGAGAGTTTAACTGGCTGTCAATTGACCAAGAAGAAAGAACAGCATCTTGATGTATCTGGTGTTCTCTCAGTGTGGGAGATCCGAGTTCTTGTCCCTGATTTACTGCCACCAAGCTGTAGGAAGTCCAGCAGCTGCTTAAATCTGCTGTTGTTGTGTGCCAAGAGTACAACTGTGCCATAGAGTTTTCTAGGCAGAAATCTTCGTAAGGAGCTGTGTGCTGTCAACTTAAAAGCATGTGGTTCAAATCCACCAGCTGCTCCATGGAAGAAAGATGGACAGTCTCCTCCCATTTGATTTGGTGCCTCTGAAAAGCTGCTGGAGGGTTAGCTGTGGGTTTCAACTTGACAGTACTCAACAGTCACCTTCTTTATAGAAGCAGATTACTGATCTTCTCACCCCTAGAGCCTCTGGTAGGTTCAAGCCACTGGCCTTTCAGTTAGCGGCTGGATACTTAACCATTCATGCTAGGCTGGCTCTCTAGACCTCAGTTTCCTCCTCTCTAGAAATAGTTCCATTGCCTTCCAGTCAACTTGTGTGTTAACTGAAGAGGGTAGAAACCAGAGAAGAAAAGAGTGGGAAAGGAGTGTATCAGAGATTTAAAAAGAGCCCTGGTGATAGAGTGGCTAAAAAGCATTCAACCACTAACCAGAAGGCCTATGGTTCAAGCCCACCAGCTGCCTGGTGGGGGAAAGATGAGACATTCAGCATCCATAAAGAGTTAGATCTTTGGAAATTTTATAGGCAGTTCCACTCTATCCTGCTTGATCTCTGCGAGTCAACACTGACTTGATACCTATAATCTGTTGTTAGGTGCCACTGAGTCGAGTACAACTCAGCGACCCTGTGAATAACAGATCTGAACCCTGCCCTATCCTGTGTCATCCTCATTATCTCTGGCAAACCTGAGCCCATTGCTGCAGTCACTGTGTCAGTCCATCTCACTGTGTCAGTCCATCTCACTGTGTCAGTCCATCTCACTGTGTCAGTCCATCTCACTGTGTCAGTCCATCTCACTGTGTCAATCCATCTCACTGAGGATCTTCCTCTCTTTTGCTGACCTTCCGCCTTTCCAAGCATGATGTCCCCTTCAAAGGAATAGCCTCTCCTAGCAACATGGCCAAAGTATGGGAGGGAGAGCTTCTCCATCCTTGCCTCTAAGGAGCAATAAGTTACTAGTAAATAATCTCTGGGATCATTTTCAGAATCCATACTCTGTGAATGTTTTGATGCTTTATTTCAAACTTCCTTACTAAAACTTTGCAGGAAAATTCATCTAAATATACTTAAAAGGTGAACACAGATTTATATTTTATTCTTGCGGTCTTTAGAGGTATAGCTGTCCATAGGAAACAGGTAGATCCTTAAAAAGTCTTTTGGCAAAAAAAAAAGTCTTTTGGCCATAAATACATTTGATGACTTTCCTTCATGTTCTAGTCTCAGGGACGTGCTGCCAAGTTAGGGTTCCTGATGTTGGAATATAAACTAAACTGTGGCATTGATCCCTAACTATTACTCTTCCAGGCTAAGGGCTGCTTCGGTAACAATTAAGTTTGTGACCAACACAACCAAAGAGAGCAAGCAAGACCTAGTGGAGAGGTTGCAGAAACTGGAGTTTGATATTTCTGAAGATGAAATATTCACTTCTCTGACGGCAGCCAGAAATTTGATAGAAGAGAAACATGTCAGGCCTATGCTGCTAGTTGATGATCGGGCGCTACGGGATTTCAAAGGTGGGGAAATTTGAATAGATTGAAAAATTGCTTCTTCAGATCTATTATGAATTGTCATTAAAATGAGATGTTTACACGTGTTTATTCTGATTTCTCTATAGCTGATATCATTGAGAATACTGATAATTTTAATATAAATTCTTTTTTGCCAAACATTTTGGGTGAGAATCCTAATTAAATGAAACATTTATTATATAATGATCTAGTATCTTCATATCTGTGTCTTTATGTTAAACAGTTCTTATTGCAGGAGATACACTATACACTTTACTTGTTTAATTTTAATGCTACTTAGAATCCTCCAAATTACTTTCACAATATAGTAATGAGCCATGATCTGCTGTTTGAAAGAACCCAGATCAAAATTACTTTGAGCATTATAATCCTTATCTAGGAGCCAATGTATTAACTTGATTAAATGGTATCAAACTAAGATCTTGTTGCAAACTAGATGTCACTTGGTATGGTGAATTTTTTACCACGAACGTGAAGTATTTTTCAATCAAGACAAAATAAAACTCCTTTCACTTTAGAGAAATGAAGCTCTGAGAAGGTCTTGGAGCTTTGTGAGGCTTTGCCATGGTGCTTCTTTTGGCAGGAGATACTGAGAATGAAGTGACACAATGAACAAAAGTAGATAGAAATGCATTCATCATAAAGACACAGTAGTATTACTAATGATTTGGGAAATTCAGCATGAATGTGCAAATTGGGTAAGACATCACAACTTTTACTGAAGATATACCAGTGTATCCATCAAAATTGCTATTTATGAGAAACCAAAGCCACCCTTGTTTGAATTAAACAGAAAATTCATTTACTTTGAAAGATTGAGTGCTGCTGGGTATATAAAATGGTGCAGCACCTGTGGATGAAAATTTGGCAGCAGTTAGCAAGTTATGTAAGAAACGACAGTTCTTACAGGACTATTTCCAAGATGTAGTAACTGAAATACACAATGGCGTACGAACAGTTTATTCCCTGTGGCCCTACTTCTTAGAACAAAAGGATTGGAAGCAACTCAGATGTTCATTGGAAGAGATGACGGAATAAACACTTATAAAGTCACAAGATAGAATGCTTTGTAGCTGAAAAAGCAGTGAGAAAGACTTTTAGCTCCTGATAATAAATTATCTTTATGGGATCTATTAAGTGAACAAAGTAAGGTATAGAAACTATTGCACAGTCTCTGAGGATGATCCTAACTGCTCCAGCAGTAACTTGGAGCTGGAATGTATTAACAGTCCCTGGTGTGGGGAAAAAGACCAGTGATTAAGTGGATAAAAAGGTTCACGACCAAGACTATATTTGTAATATAAGTAAGAATTGGACTTTATTTTTGTTTGTTTACTTTGGTTAAATTTGTATAATTTTTACCAGACCCACTGCCTTTAAGTCAAGTGCGACTCAGCTACTTTTCATCCTGTTTCCAAGGCTGTCGGTCTTTATGGGAGGAGACCACCGGTCTCTCTGCCATGAAGCTCCTGGTAGGTTCACATCTCCAGCCTTTCAGCAGCCTGACATGTTAGGCACCAGGGCTCCTTGTAACATCTTTATTTACATGAAGATACCTGAGGCATCTTCATACCTTTGATGAGCTTTTCAAAGGAATGGAAATATCTTTGCAGATAATGAATATATTTGCTCATGTTAGATGGAGATAATAAAACACAAGATTCCAACTATTACTGTAGCTCACAATTTTATTTTCTTCCTTCAACAAGACTGAACTAATTATTCAGTACTCCTCACTATTGAAAGGAGGAAATTGAGTGTCTGTTCTGTTTCTTCCTCTTGTTCCTTCTCATCACATTTGGTAGAATTGAGAGTGAAAATGCTTAAGGCAGACAAAATAGGCAAATAGAAATTGGCATAAGAATACTCCACCGAACCTTTAATTAGGCTAAGTCCTGATGAATGTTCTTCTTTAGTTGTCAATCCAAAGTCCTGTCATTAGGTGCCAATACCCAACAACATGCTGTAGTTAGAAAATATTATTTGTGAAACTAAAAGTAGATTGTATCAAAAAATTGAGAATCTAGAGACTATTTCATCTTTATAAAGAATGTACTAACCTCATTGTATCAATTAGAGTCTAATTTCCTCGCCCCTTGGATTTTCAGTCCCTCATCAGTTGCTATTGATCTGATACCTCTTAGGAACTCAAGGCTGGTTTTGTTGATTGTAATCAGTAAAGCTTCTTGCAAGTGGGACATTATAACTAGTTTCAGAATATCAGCTTACCATTTTCAATTTAGATATGAGTAACAACTGGACAGCCCTGCAGAAAAGAATATTCAAAGTATTAGATTATTTCTGTCCTTAAAGGGTCATATTAGGACTGTAACAAAAATTTGTACTTAATTAAATAAAACTACTCAAAAATGTTACATTACTTCCAATTACATTTTTCAGCTTGCATATACACACACACACACACACACACACACACACACACACACACACACACACACACACACACACACACACACACACACTCTCTCTCTCTCTCTTCTTATTATTATGACTTTTAATTTCCAGGAATACAGACAAGTGATCCGAATGCTGTGGTAGTAGGATTGGCACCAGAACAGTTTCAGTATTCAATTCTGAACCAGGCGTTTCGGTAAGTGTTCAGCTATTTCTTTATCATTTAGGTTTATACTCACTTTCTTCCCTTCTTTTTCTAGACTTTGCCATTGTGACATTACACATATGAGGCTTTGCTATCTGGCCCCCTAAACTGTACATTAAGAGAGATGTCTTCAATATCACTTTAAGAGCAACATCGTATAACATGACTATTTTGACTTTGTTGATTTAAAAACGTTATTAAATGCACTGAAGGGGTAGAGAGGGAGATGTGCAATAATGAATGAATGAAAATCCAGCTTTTCTGTAAACTTTCATTAAAATTACATTTAAAAAATTTAAACTATCAAAAAAGTTATTAATAGTTAAAATGTGATCATTGGGGGTTTTCTGGTTTATCGAATCAATTTTGGCACAGAAAAAAATGATAAAATTACAGCTTTTCAAGCTAGTGCCTTTAGCTATTATTATTGTGCCTGTAATTCTATCAACTGTGCTAATCTCTTTTTTTAGAATATATATATTTTTTAATTGACATTTTAATGAAAGATTATAGAGAACTTGGAGTTTCGTTCATTCATTGTTGCATATTTTCCTCCCTGCCTACCCCTCCCTCACAGTTCACTTTTCTCTTTGAAAAAAAAATTCTTTCACTGTTATACAATCAACCCCCCCCAGTCCACTTTACTATGCAGCTCTTATTATGGACACTTGTCATGCAAATAATACCTAATCATGTATCCCTTTTAAACAGTTCTCTCCCTCATCTGATTCAATGCAGTGTACATTATTTATCCCCTCTTTTTTTCGGTTTCTCCCCAATCTCAATGTCAGTCTTGTTTTATAACAGGCATTATGCAGTGTTTGTCCTTTTGTGACTGAGATACTTCACTCAACATTATGTCCTCCAGGGTCACCCATTTTGTGTATTTCTTGAGTTCCTTGTTTTTTGTGCCGCATAGTTTCCATTGTGTGGATATACCACAGCTTCTCTGTTTGTGACAAAGCCACAATAAACGTGGGTGGGCATATGTCTGCTTGAGTGGCAGTTCTGGTTTCTTTAGGGTGTATTACCAGTAGTGAAATTGCTGAGTGCTAATATCTTTTGCCCAAGCATTGAGGACTCTCCTTCATAGGATAGCTATGAGTCGCCTGTGACTTGATGGCACTTAACTACAACAACAATATCTTTTGAGCTCTGGTGGCTTAGTGGTAAAGCATTGAGCTGCCAACTCAAAGGCAGATGGTTCGAATCCACCAACAACTCCTTGGTAGAAAGATGAGCAGTCTCCTGCCGTGTGATTTACAACCTCTGAAAACACAGTGGAGGGTCAGCTGTGAGTTGGTTCTGACTTGAGAGCACACAGCAATGACATGCTAATTTCTAGGAGCATTGGTGGCTTAGTGGGCTATGTGTTGGCCTGCTAACTACAAGGCTGGTGGTTTGAATGCACCAACCACTCTATAGGGAAAAGCTGACACTGCTGCTTCTGTTAGGACTCACAGCCTTAGAAACCCAACCAAGCAGCTCTTCTCGCTCCTTTTGAGCTGCTATGAGTCAGAATCTACTTCCCAGTCATGAGTTTCACATTCTAATCTCCAAGGGAACATCCAGACTAAAACATAAATAATAGTACCTCATAGGTAAGCCAGGCTGTGGAAATGAGTTGACACATTTGACTATGCTTTCAAAGAAATTGTGTGACGCGTGATCATGATAGCCTAAACTGGCATTGTGACGATAGGAGTGAAGAAAAAGATTTGGAGGAGTTTTAAAAGGTTGTATCAGCATGACTCAGTGAATGATGGGGTTTGGGTGGTAAAGCATACTGCCGGTCAAGGAGAGCATCCGGATTTTTAACCTGCACAGACGTGACAGAGAACACTCCTTGTTTGTGGTCTGGCAGTGAGGATGGCTAGGGATGTTGGGCGTGAGGGTTGCCCAGACATAGAATGAGGCTCGCAGGCTTCACTGTGCTTATACATTATAAAATGGACTTTTTGCTGCTGCTTCCAAAAGAAAGTCTACACTGATCCACATCCTTCCCAAAATAAAGTGGAATCAGAATTTACCTGTGAATCTCTCCCAGCGTTAAGTTCCTTAAATATTGCTCTATCTTGTTTTTTATTTCCTGCAACTGATGTTGCAGGATGCTGTTTTTGTGTAATTTATCTGGTCATTTTAATGCACGTGATTGGTTTAAAACACACCCTACACTCTTACGGCCCTGTTAATGTAACAGAGAAAACCTTTTTCGCATCTAGATGTTATAAATATAAATATATAATAGTTATTATTGTTGTTGTTACTATTGTTATTATTGTCAGCTATGGCTCGTGGTGTCATCTGTACAGCAGAAGCGAACACTGCCTGATTCTGCCCCATCCACTGGTACTGGAGTTAGACTTTACAATCTGTGCTCATAAGGAACACAGTCCATTTGTAACACCTGGTAAATCTTTCATATGTAGCCACAGGAAGACCTTGAGCAAGAGATGCTTTGACATGCTGAGTACAGCAGAGGGCTCGAGCACCACAGAGACCGTGAGAATGACACAGGATTGAGCACAGTGAAGTTCTGTTAGATACCGCATCACTGTGAGAGGGGTCAGCTGCACCGTGCCTGGTAAACACCTGCCCGAATGATGTAGAAGAGCATGTTCTTACCAGGAGGACAAGCAGCACGACAAGAATCATTCTAACTTACACTTTATGTTAATTTCTTAGTGTAAACGTTCCAGAGTCACAGTGCTTGTAGGTAGGCAATGTAAAGTCATCTGGACACATTATTCACTGTTGATCTTGACAATGACTGTCCTCAGGTACAAAATCTCTAGCCAGAAATAGCACATTGGGAATAGCCATCTTTCCTCCCTGCATGTGCACTAATTTTAGGGCCATGAAGAAAGCACACTTTATGCTCTTTTATTTGTGTCTATTACTCACTGTGGTCTTCCAAGTCATTGTTTTAAAAGAATAAACTCACATTATCAGTTTTCTCTATTCCCTGTGTATCCACTGTCATGCCAGGTCGCTTGAAGATGTACTTCGTTCAAGGTCTATGATGCTATCATGTCATTTGCTTTGCTTGTTTGAATTTTCCTACTTTATCTTCTTAGGAGGCATTATCCTACCTCCTACCTAAATAAAGTCTGCTTCTATCCCAGAATCAAGTTTCTTGTGAAATAGAAAGCATGCTACTGTTTTTTGCTTCCAAATTTACTCACCTCTTCTAACTTTTATTCTTTTCTCTAACCACAAAATTCAAGGCAAAAGTATTGACTGATTTTAGCCAGTAATTTGGGAAGGACATCTTTAATAGGAAGTTGGGTGGTCTCTGTCTTAGATGAATACTAGACTCAGGGTCATAAAAATCTATGTTGACATAATACTGACTGTAATTGCTCAGATGCTGTCTAATTAGTACACTTTCCTAACCATATTGATTTTTTTTTAAACACTACATTTTAAAACATTACAGTGCACTTATAGGTCAACTCTAATTTCACAAATGCACTTAACAGCTGGGTAGAGAGTTAAAAGAATGATTTTAGGCCTTGCCCTTCTTTGCATATTGATGTTTCCACTGAGACACTACATTCTAACATTGACTGCATCTGTTAGGATTATGTGTGGCAAATGTAGACCTCGCACATGAACCACCGATTAAATTACTCTCCAGGTTGATTATGAGACTGAACATTGAATCCAAGCCCAGTCACTTTGCATACGAGCTTCAGGGGCATCTTGCCTTCAGCCATTTAGATCAGCCTCCCACATTGCACTGCCTCTTACTTCTCTTACTTACTGTATTTGTAATGAGCAGTGTTTACATGCTCCTCCAAATGTGTAGTTCAGTCAGTCTACAAATACATCTTTAAAGTCTAAATGAAATCGACACTAGTGAATTTTTAAAATAATTCTTTTGGGTGAGGGTGTGAACCAGCCATGTGGGGGTTTGGAGGTAGTAAATTGCATGGGAGGAGATTGCCCACCTTTCTCCCACACAGATACTGGTGGATGCAAACTGTGTGCCTTTGGGTTGGCAGTGCAGCTCCTTACCACTCAGCCACCGGCGCTCCCTGAACCAGCTATAGGGAATAGATAGGAGTTAATTTTCAATAAAATAATTCAGTGGTCATAGTGAATTTAATTATTCTTGTAATTTGTTTATAGAAGCTTTCTGATTCGAATTAGACATTGTCATATTCAGCTAATTACAATTTTACTTCTCTCTTTTCTGTTGTTTTTTTTTAAAGTAAAAGAAAAGATTCTTTCATTGTTTTACAAACCCTCCCCCAGGTCCCCTCCACCATGGAGCCATCGCTCTAGACTCCTGTGATGACAGAAATACCTAGTCACATATCTCTTTTAAACAGTTTTCTCCCTCCTCTGTTTCAGTGCAATATACATTATTGAACCCATCTTACTCAGTCTCTCCCCAACCCCAAGGTTAGTCCCATTCTACAACAGTGGCATCATGTAATATTTGTCCTTTTGTGACTGGGATATTTCACTTAGCATAATGTTCTCCAGAGTCAACCATTTTGAATAATATTGCGTGAGTTCCTTGTTTTTCAATGCAGCATAGTATTCCATTGTGTGAATATACCACAGCTTCTCTAGCCATTCGTTTGTTGATGGGCACTTCGGTTGTTTCCAAATCCTTACTATTGTGAACAAAGCCACGATAAATATGGGTGTGCTCTTTTCTGTTTTTATATTTTTATTTCTTCTTGCGGTATTGCTGTTTTACCGATTGACAGTATTAAATAGAAGTTATAAGATAGCCTTATCTTAGTCCATAATTCAGGAACAAAATTGCCAATATTCCACGATTTTCACTCTTTCATACTAGGTCAATAAGCACATAAAAATATGCATATTTTTAACTTTTGACTAAAACCGGAAGTAATAGTGATTAATGTTGCCAAAGTTCTTCTGTTTTAATTTTTTTTTTTCTCGGCCTTTTGGCTAAGATCAAGTGTAGGTTCTGTTCTTGCCAGTTTAATATTTTTCATTTCCTCTTCATC